CCCCCTCCCTGTGTCTCTCTGTCTCCCCCTGCAGACGGAGGAGAGCTGCCTCCTCGGGTGGAGCAGAGGAACGGCCAGCTCCACTTCACCAAAGTCACCCGCAGCGACGCCGGAAACTACACCTGCATCGCCTCCAACAGCCTGCAGGGGGAGATCAGGGCCCTGGTGACCCTCATAGTGGCCGGTAAACAGCTTACATTACAGGGCCATGCTGCCATGCTAGTCACCAGTCACACACTTGTGGTCGCAGCACATCTGAGTCATTGATCATTCTCATCAAGTGGCACACACTGCAGCCTTTATTGTGTACTTGGTGGCACTTTTATTGCCCAGTAATAAATAGCATTTGGGTTTTATAGTGTAACCACAGTCAACACAGTGTGTGAAGGAAATGTTACGGACCAGTTGTGGTTGTATTAACCAATGTGTCCATGTGTGTGTTTGTGCACATACAGTGTACATTCGCTTTAAGTTGGAGCCAGAGAATACCACGGTGTACCAGGGCCACACTGCCATCCTGCACTGCCAGGCCACCGGAGACCCCGAGCCCCACATCCACTGGATGGTCAAAGACAAGACGCTGGACATCAGTAAGAACAGGAGGTAAATAAGAGAAGATAAGATAGAACTTTATTGATCCCAATTTGGGACATTTGGGAAGATTTTGTGAGGTAAATGAGACACCTGGTGGAGTTTGTGATTGCACATGTCTTTGCATTGATTCTAGATTTAGCTTGTGCTAATATAGTATTACACACTTGAATATAACAGGCCTAATGCAAGAACATCCAAACCTTTTGTACGATTCATGAACAGATGTCAGCCTCTCGCTACATTTAGTACAACAAATAAAACATTTAAATTGTAGTCTTACCTAAAAACGTTAATGCTTTTACGCCTTTTGAGTCTTTAGTTGTTTCAGGGCGCTTTTTGCTCATGTCACATTCAACTTAATGTGGCCTTAGCAATATACAAGCCTTGCACTTATTTGGAAAAGGCACAATTACGACTTGGAGGAGCTCAATTCATGCACAATTTAATGTTTTTACAGGAACTGTATTGCGTAAACATTTTGGGAACAATTTAAGATGAGAAATGTAGAATAAAGTGACTAAAATAGAATATCTATATTTGGCCAGTTTTCGTGCATTCCGTCAGAAATGTAAATGTGTGTGTGTGTGTATGTTGATGGACTTTATTGTGAACGCACTACATCTCTCCGTCCCTTCTTTCTTCCTCCAGGTTCCAGACGATGCCAAATGGCTCCCTAGTGATTACAGATGTGACTACAGATGACACGGGCAGATACACATGTGTGGCGGGAAACAGCTGCAGCATCAAAGACCGCGTGGCTCAGCTTTATGTAGTGGGTGAGTCTAACACACACTGACGTATATACACAGGCTCCCTATATCAGGAACAAAGGAGCACACATGAGCATTAGCCACTGTCACAGGTAGCGGATTAAGCTTTAATTAAACCTCCACCCTCCGCCTGTCGTGCGTTTCGACAGGTTAATAAGCGCAGCCACGTCTCTGACACCGCCGCTGTCACTGAGGTGAGGGGATCGGGCAGACGTTCGATCTAATAAAGCCTCACTCTGTGGCCCTCTGTGTGCTGACTGATGCTGAAAATCACAGTCACACACTCGCATGAGTCTCCCATACCAATCATTTTCTCCCAAAGTAGCAGGATCCAGATTAGTTTAAAGTAGGAGACAATTCAAATGTTTGGCAGGGTCAGCGTGACAGCTCTGCCCTGCAAAGCCAGTGTTAGCAGTGCAGACAAAATGATTTGTAGTTAAATGAGGTTACTGTATGTTTTGTATTATGGTTTTAACTGTGTTCAAATCCAATGCAAATGCCTAAACAAAACAGATGAGTGTTTGCTGACTGCTTCAGTAGGGCAGAATAGTTGTCCGACAGTTTTTTAACAGTTGATGCATTGATTTAACTTTGCACATCATTACTGTAGAGGATTTTTAACAGTAAAACCATACCATTTTTAAAGGGGCCCTATCATGCTCATTTAAAGGTTTCACAATTGTATTGTGTTCTTATACCGTGACATGTCTCCATGCTTTAATGTTCAAATTATTTATTGTTCTCATACTGCCTGTGCTGCAGCACCTCTTTTCACCCTCTGTCTGAAACCAGAGCCCAGTCTGCTCTGATTTGTTAGCTGGCCGGCTCTGTTGTGATTGGTCAACCACTTAAAGATGTCCCGCCCCTTAGCCTGTCATGTACAGTTTGTTGGAGCGTTAGCCAATAGAAACACATCCTGTACTGTTCCAGAGCTTTTTTAGTTGACCATCATTTTTGCCTGTGCCCGACAGAAAAACCTATGCATAACTTTGACGAAGTGGAGGACAAGGCTCCCTACAAGATGATCCAGACCATCGGCCTGTCGGTGGGAGCAGCCGTGGCTTACATCATCGTCGTGCTGGGACTCATGTTCTACTGCAAAAAGAGACGCAACGCCAAAAGGCTGGACAAAGGCCAAGACGGAGAGGAGCCTGAGATGGAGTGTCTCAACGGTACGGTGCTGGAGGAGAGGCTTTCTGAATGTGTGGTTAGGCAGTTCTAAAGTCAGCGAGGGGGTTATTGATGGGAGGGGTTGATTTCCCCTCAATTCATGTTCCTCAGTGCGTTGTGGAAGGTTTAGGATATCTGCTGCCATCTTGTGTTTGCCTAGCGTATTGCATTAAACATGTGTTGCAGGTTCCTTTCAAATTGTTGAGAAATTAGCTGTCTGTATTTTGAGTGAAGTGTTTACACTGTAGAAGTGACATTTAAACAAACTCAGCTCTCTGTATGCATACAAATAATTTTTAATTCTTAGTGAGTTATTAAGGAAATGGAGCAGCTGCAAAAATACAGGTTTTTTAGAACATGTCAGAACCAATGTTAGACATTTGAATTATTTTTTCATTACATTTGATTTCAGTTTTCAGAATTTGTCTGTTTGAGTGTTGTACTGGCTTTAGTTTAGAAAATGCATCTTTAGGAATTAGTATAATTTCCTTTTCTCCTTTTTTATTAAGTTTCAGCATACGACAATATCTTTCACCCTTTTTAATGAAAATTAATATGTAGTGACGTTTTAAGTCAGTTTGATTTACTATTAACAGTGCTGCAAAAATGGCAATCTAAAAAAGAGTCTCTACTCTACATTTAATACCAACTTAATTTTTGGCTGTGCAGAGAAACGGATATTGCTTTGTTATGACAAGGAAACTGTATCGGGACGTAGTTCCCTATATTGGTTCCTTTTAATACCCTTTCATATCTCCTCTGACCCTGTGGGATGTGTGTTGTGTTTGTCAGGGGGTGCCATTCAACAAAATGGCCACACCACTGCTGAGATCCAGGAAGAAGTGGCACTCACCAACATGGGTACCATAGCAACAACGGAGAAACGCCACAGCCATGTGAACAACGATAAGCTCCACTTTCCCCGAGCAAACCTACAAACCATCACAACTTTAGGTACGCTGACTTAAACAATCCTCCTCTGAGAACGACTGTCTGTGACCTCTGAGCTAATATCTGGTTGTTTCTTTTCTCATTCAGGCAAAGGGGAGTTTGGCGAGGTGCTGCTGTGCAAAGCTAAGGGTATGGAGGAGAGCGAGGAGGAGACGGTGGTGCTGGTGAAGAGCCTGCAGAGCAGAGACGAGCAGCTGCAGCTGGACTTCCGCCGTGAGGCAGAGATGTTCGCCAAGCTCAGCCACGCCAACGTGGTGCGGTTGCTGGGGCTCTGCAGGGAGGCCGAGCCGCACTACATGATCCTGGAGTACTACGACCTGGTGAGAACACACAGAGAAGGACACACAGAAGTGTTCAATCAGTTAGCAGATGTAACAATTTGTTCTGTTTTTATCACACCAGGGAGACCTCAAGCAGTTCCTGAGAATTTCCAAAAGCAAAGATGACAAGGTCAAATCTCAGCCAATCAGCACCAAGACCAAAGTAAGTGTTGTTCCCTAATGTACAGCTCCCAGCATTCTTCATCCTGCACACTATTTAGCTTGAACATAAGAAAATGTAAATGTATGTCGGATTCAGCATATTAAGATTGTTGGAGTTTATTTGTTGTTTTTCCCGTTTCTTGTAAATATCACGTTCCCTAGACACTTTACACTCTTAGATAATTGGATCAGTACTTCTCTCATGGCTGTACACTGAATATGAAGCTACAGCCAGGACACTGTTAGCATAGCTTAGCTAAACCGTGGGCTAACCTGGCTCCACCCAAAGGTCAAGAAAAATTAACCTAAGCCCTCTAATTAAGACGTTAGATCCTCTTTGTGTAATCCGTACAAAAGCCAAGATGAAATCCTTGGAAGTCATGGTTTCCTGTCGGACAGTTTCTTGATCTGTGGAGATCCAAAACACAGAGATTTGTTTGGACTGTGTTTTGATATTTATTTAGATTAAAAGTCATCATTTTGGTGCAACACAAATTGAAGCGTTGTGGTCTTTCTGTTTATTCTTGACCTTGATTTCAGATTATTTCCAACTTTTTTTCCACACAAATGTATGATTTTTATATTCTCACAGCATATGATATGGTTTTCTTGTACATTTGTAAGGTTTTTCTTTAGAAATGTTCAAAGTTCTTTCTTGTAATATATCCCCCCCCTAGCTCCGTCATTTAGTAATTAATCTCTTTTCTTATACTGGCCCTCATACAGCAGCATAACTCCTAACTGCCTGATGCAACCAATGCTAACCTCTGTAACCGCTGCTGCATTCTAAATGTATTCTCAAAGTCACTTCACCCTGACTGTTTCTCTGTTGTTTTCTTTCCCTTCAGGTTTCCATCTGTGCCCAGGTGGCTCATGGGATGGAGCATCTGTCCAATCACCGCTTCGTTCACAAAGACCTCGCCACCCGAAACTGCATGATCAACAGTCAGCGGCGCGTCAAAGTGTCCGCGCTGAGCCTCAGCAAGGACGTCTACAACAGGTCCGTAGAAAGGGACTTAGTTTGATAATAATCACGCACTTTAATAAATGTTCTGATTTAATGTTCTTCAACATCTCTGTTCATCTGCTAATATGAGGTGTTCCCTTATCATTCTCCTGTGTGCTACAGTGAGTACTATCACTACAGGCAGGCATGGATCCCGCTGCGCTGGCTCCCCTCAGAGTCTGTGTTTGAAGACGATTTCTCCACCAAGTCTGACATGTGGGCCTTCGGAGTGTTGATGTGGGAGGTGTTCAGTCACGGGGAGATGCCATATACCAAACTCAGCGACGACGAGGTGCTGGAAGGTCAGTATGAAGCTTCAGAAGACTTTTTTAGATCATATTCACAGAAACAGACAAGATAACAAGGTCCTTCAAATACACTTTATTTATTTAGTCAGCACCTTTCATGCAAACATGCAGGCCAAATTCCATCACACAAATAAAAATAAAAAATAAAATGCTGACTTAATTACAAACGAAGTATAAAATAAAAGCATCAGTAATGAAAATAATGTCAAATCTTAAAAGCTAAGGGTATGGTATATCTCCCAAACTAAAAGTCTGATTAAAATAGTGAAAGTGACACATTTTGAATCATTAAACTTTCTTGTGTTTTCCCTTTAATTTGCATTTTTCTGTAGAATGTTGTCGTGAAACATAATTTGGGTTGTGTCTATGCATTTAATTTAATGTGCTTAGGGAGAGCTATGAAAAGTCTGCATTTATTGTGTATTCAAATGTCAGTTACCAGAGTTCCAAGGTGCTTTAAACATGCCCCTTGAAATGCTCAAAAAGTGCTTGAACTTGACTTTCTAAGGAACGCTGAACTTGAATGCAGACGTTAGATGACTAAAATCCCTTTCTGAATATAATATATATAGTTAAAAAAGATTTCAAAGTGCATGGCAAAAATCTTCAAAATTGATTTAAATTAGTTTATGACGGCTTCTGGCAAAACTACGGAGCCCCTAAAGGGACATGGAAAAAAGAGAGAGAGAGAAAAAAAGGTCGGGATAACGTGAGCACTAGAAACTAACCCGTTATTCCGACTTCTTTTTTTTTTTTTTTGAGAAAGTTAACGCTGCGCGAACTGGAGCACACAGGAGGAGACAACCATTTAATTGCAGACTGTTATGTTTACGTGGGGAAATGACAGTGCATACATTATTTGAGGGGGGGTGGGGGGTGCTAGTGCACTGTCAACGTGGGGGAGCCTCGCTGCGGGGAAACGGTGCACCTCTGTCGCCTGTCAGCGCAACTTCAATGATGCTGTTTAAAAACATAAAAATGTAAGGGCGGTGCCGGCCGTCAACAGCCCTTGACAACCGGCCGTTCTGTGATTCTACAGATGGCCAGTCCGCCACGCATGCGCACACACGCACACACTCGATTACTCCCCCTTTTGTTAGTTTCATGAAGGAGATGTCCGTTCACCTGATGTGAGTCTGTTTGTGTTCTGCTCAGCTCCGCTCTGTGTGTGTGTGTGTGTGTGTTCTGAGTGTTTGTTTCCCTTTAAACCAGCAGGTACTCTGAGAGTCACGGACATTAATTCATAGATCAAAGCAGACTGGTTTACAGACTCTCCTGTTTTGCCAATACGGTGCTTAAACAAATAGCTCTACACCCCTGGTCGTAATGTCCATAAAATTAAGTCTGAGCTCGAAATATATCTCAAATAATGTATACACTGTCATTTCCCCACGTAAACATAACAGTCTGCAATTAAATGGTTATCTCCTCCTGTGTGCTCCACTTCCTCCATGGCGCACCGGTAACTTTCTCAAAAAACAAAAAAAAAGTCGGGATAGCCGGTTAGTTTCCCGTACACACGAGATACTAACCCGTTATCCCGACTTTTTTTGTTCTCTCTTTTTTTTTATGTTCCTTTTTAGGGGCTCCGTACAAAACACCACAACGTGAATGCATCTGTAGAGGGGATACAACTTGTGGCTTACATAAACAAAAATTTTACCCCAGCTTTTTTAAGTTTTTGGAACCAGTAGGGACAATTTCATTATGTTAATTCGACAAAAAACGTAACCTAGTTCTCGTCGTTTTAAATGCATAAATGTTACATATTATAACTTAGTGCTGCAATCTCAAAGAATGGCCTTTGTAATCAACAACCCGCTCTTTGTTAGTCCTGCTTTAACCCCCTCCCCTCTCTGCCCCCCCCACCCTGCAGGTCTGCAGACAGGGAAGCTGAAGCTGCCCCTGCCTGACGGATGTCCCTCCAAAATCTACAAACTCATGGCCCGCTGCTGGGCGCTCAGCCTGAAGGAGCGCCCCTCCTTCACTGAAATCGTCCACGCGCTGGGAGAGCAGCCCTCTGACAGCAAGGTCTGAGAAGACCCTCACCAACCCTGACCTCCTTTCTTTAAAAAAAATAAAGACAGGAATGCTGGAATATTAGTCTCACACATTTCAGGGAAGTGGGTTGAGGAGAAGAAACTTTTTTAATATGCATTTCAAACAGCGGGCGTGTGGATCAGACTCCTTTATTCTACAGCAGTGGAAACACACTCACGTCTGTGTGAGCGGGTTCTCGTGAGCAGTGACGGGAGTTTGCCTTAACGCGGCAAGGACGACCCCCCCCCTCCCCAGCCAAGCTGTGGCTCCACTGCAACCCCGCCTGCCGCTCTGTCCCAGAGTTTCACAGAGCCTCACAACCTCAGTGCCTCTACTCCACCCCCCCCCTCCCACACACACCCAGACCGCTTTGTAGTACGTTACAGCGCTCTAACTGGCTCCATCAACAGGAATCATTGTTGGACGTTTATGAAACCCCCCCTTGAAAATTAGGTTCACTGCTCTGTCTAGGATGAAAGAATATTGAAGGAAAAGTGGGACTTCAGTGAAGCGTTTCTACTTGAACCTAAAATCCAGCTTCTATCCCCCCCCAAAATGTGTGTGTGTGTGTGTGTGCGTGCCACTGAACTGTTCCCATGCTACAGTGTACGTACGTTCAAAGAAGAAGAAGTGGAACAAGGTTTGCATGAAGGTCCGTCGGCTGTTACGCTTATAATTTTGCGACGTGAGGAGACTTGTGGAAAAAGAAATCTGTGTTATGGTAACACTTCAGGAACATGAAAAAGAAAAGATCAAGTTTACAGCCAAGGAATATATTGAATAGATGAGATTGTGGGAGTTTTATGAGTGTGTTCTGTTTGTATTAACTTTGAGGTGCTTATCGGTCACGGCCTATGGGTAAGAACACCCGTTTTAATCACATAATCATGTTGCAGGCATGCAGCCTATCACTGTGTTTAACCTGCAACATAATTTCTTCAGAGGTCCAATCACAGTTTTCCTTTTCCGGGTCCAATTGTTTTGTGCAATGCTGCCGAGTGGACCATCACACCAGGCAATGTGTACATAATGTAGAAGCCATGCACTAACTTCACTTAAAAAGAATATCCCTGTTTATCTCTATCATGTTGTGTAGTAGGACATGCAGGTGCCTGTTTATTTATAATGAAGGTCCTGTCTTTTTTTTTTTAACTATGTTTATAACAGAAAGGTACTTCTCTGATGCTATGTGTTCATTCAGTCCATCTCAGTTCAGCCTGGAAAGCTGAATATGTTAAAACAAAGGTCAAAAGAGTGACCCTGGCTCACCAGATCTCATTTAAGTGCCTGGTAAATGAAGGATTATCTTTACTGTTTCCCTTTTTACATTATCTAATCAAATGGCCTTTGTTTATGAACTTGTTTTTTTATACGTTGTTTTTAGTGTAATGTTTTTATGAATGCTAGGACTCACACCTAGACCTCCTTTTTTATCTGCTTCAGCAAATGTTCACAATAATCACAGATATATACTAAAGTATACATGCTGCTGTCAATAAAGGTTCACAGTGTTTTTACCCAATGTGTTGTTATTAACACTAGAGCTGAAACAAATCAGCTAGTGGATCAAAATATAATTGCCAACAATTTTGATTATTGATCAATAATTAGTGTAATCTTTCATGCAGAATGTAAACAAAAAAGGCTTTCCCTCGCATCTCAAAGATGGAGTTTTTTGCATTTCTTTGTTTTATATCAAATTAAAGCGAATATTGTTATGTTTTGGAATGACTGAACAAGACATCTAGAGAAATAACCGTGTACATGGAGTAACTGCTAGATATGCTCACTATTTTCTGACATTTTCTAAACAAACTTTTAATCTAGAAAATATTCGACAGATACATTTAAATTTGAAATAATCATTAGTTAATTGCAGTCTTAATACTGAAAATAGCAATGCATCTTCGACAACTACATCTGTGATATTTTTTTTCTTTTGTATGAAAATTGACTTTTGAATAATTCAAACTATCTAGATGATAAAAAAAACACATTTAAATGCATTCTAGTCCATCTTTCTGTGGTAATGCAAATGCATGCAGGGACCATTTTAAATCACTTTCATTTGAATGCATACAGAAACACTTTAAAATAGGTATTCAGCTGCTGAAGCACATTCACTCGTCTAACAATAACTGAAAAGGATTATGGGAAGCGTTAGTGTTAACAGTGGCGGCCGGCCCATAGGGGCGCTAGGGGCGCCGCCCCCCCTCTTCCCACATGTTTGATTGTCATTCAAAATTCAAAATAAATAAAAAAACACATTTCCAAAATATATATTTTTTTAATTTTTATTTTTATTTTTTAAGAACAAGGTAAATATTATATAGTTGGTATCAGTAAAATGTATAATCTACAATAAAATCTCGTTTTAAATTGTTTTACGATGTCTAAAGTTACCGATAAGTCACATGTTTCCTGCCTGGCCGCAGCGTGTATCATTACCCTCTCTCGTCCGGGCGGTAGAAAGGAGCCCTCAGCCAGAGCAGCTGCAGCCAACAAGCTGACTGTTGCTATCTGTAAACTATGCCGCCGAAACATAATTTCAGCCAATCAGCGTCGTCAGATCTGATGCTCAAAGGGCGCCCTTTCAGCGCCCTGGCCTGTCTGTCTTTGAGTTGTTTGGACTCGTATCCAAGGTGACGCTACAGTAGGGGATGGCTGCGTCTGCAGGTGTAGACTCCGGTGCTAGTGGATCGCCGGAGCTGTAGATTAACATTTGCATGCTTATTGTAGTTGTAAGGGCAATGCCTGTGGCACCATGGAGCATATGTGTGGGCTGGACCTGTATTTTATAGGAAAGGAGTGATCAGAGGGTCGAGTTGTCGATTCTTGTTCAGTTTTCATCTTCCTCACCCTCTCAGACTTTGAGTTGCGCGCGCTGCTAAAGAGACGCGCTACCATGGAAACCAAACAATGGTGTAGCTGTATTAAAGTCCGAGTGGAAACAGTCGTGAGTAAATCTGATTTTGTCAGAAATCGGGAGAAATGCGGGAGTCTCCCGCGAAAATCGGGAGGGTTGGCAAGTATGACACACACACACACACACACACACACACACTGTCCGTATTTAGTCTCCTGATTTTAAATGCCCTAGTATGGTTTTGTCACCATTTCCATAGCCCCACCAAAAATATTTTCCACCAGCCGCCACTGAGTGTTAACCATAATGTTAGCTTCTTTCATTCAAAAACATTGCCACTTGTAAACCTGTTGAGTCTTTAAGACAGATCTGGCTTGCAGCTGTATTTCTACACAAACGAATGTGTAAAAAATAATGAAGGTGATGAAATGTTCACTCAAGTGGTATTCCACCACAAACAAGTCTCTGCAAGGTGATATTTAGCGTGTGTAAATAAGCCTCTAGGTACGTCTCTTAGAAGTTATGGTACGCTTTTAACAAAGTGGTCGGAATACTTGACAGTAAATGCCATACATTGGGATGTATTATGTAAAATCAAGCATATGTTGCTGTAAAAGCACTATTTTCAATTGTACTGCTGAGTCCAACAGTTCTTTCTTTCACCACTAGAGGGAGGTCTACATCTTCAGTAGGTATTTTAAAATCTGATCCTCAAAGTTTGCCAAATATTTGTTCCCTTATAATTATGTTTATAGTTGAATATGCTCACATGGCCTTTTATAGATGCAAAAGAGGATAACTTGTTGTCTTAAATTACTGACAATGTTTTTACTTGCCTTGATGGATATGGCATTATTGAATTTAAATTATATTTGGTGCCCAGAGGCAAGATTTGTTGTATATCCTCAAAGATAAATCATAATGCATTTAGAGTTATTAGTGGTTTGATGTTTTTTTGTCATCCAGTTTCTGTTAGATTTCGCTTACTTTTCTGACAAACTAAGGATAAATCTTAATGAGATTCATAAAACTTAAACTCCTAGTAATAAAGTGATGTTGTGATAACAGGATTTGCACCTTAACAAGCTTTCATAGCTCTCTTATTTATATCCCACACTATGGAACAAAAATCCCCTAGCAAATGTTGGTTAAGAAAACTATTTTCAAATATAATAACTTGTAATTGTTTGAACTTGCCTTGAGCACCACATGGGTGGGGCTTACTGCATTATTTCAGATTTGGTAGAGTTTACAGTGATGGGACTTAAACCCAGAAGTGTCACAAGTGGAAAAGCATGTGTAAATAATAAAATGGCTGAATTAAATGTGGCTGCTTCAGGGTTCTGGTGTTGTGTATGTGCTAACTAACTGTTATGGTGTACTGGTACAATTTAATAGAGCAAGGCCTTATTAGTTACACCTGTGCTTGTCCTGCTACAGGTTGTTTGACTAATAAAAGTAGGAAAAGCACAGGTGTTAACACTAACAATGGCTCAGTTCTATTCAAGTGTTCTGAGAGTGACAGTGATTGTGCACAATACCAGGAACCTGATGTCAAAGCAGCTAAATGTAATACAGACATAGAATATATCATTTTTACACCTGTGCTTTTCCTGCTGTGACATACCAAAATGTCATAGGTGTAATAGGCACGTTGTGAAAACTATGCAAGTTACAATAGGTATGTGGAACTACAACTTGTTGAATGCAACTTGCATGCTTTTGCATATTTTCTAGTTATAAAGTAATTACAGGTTGTCATAGACCTTATTTAGCTGGCCAGCAAAGTGCATTTGCAATTCTTGAGAAAAATGATTGTGATGTATGCAGGCCCAGTCTTCAAAGTTATCTGTGTTTAATAGATAGTGTATAGGTTGTACCATATTTTCGTAAAAAAGATAATATAAAATTGCACAAACAAGGATAAAATATTAACCTAAACATGTTATCGCTAAAATAATTTGAGATCTTAAGTACATTTTATAAAAACTCCAACAGCTTTAGCAATAGACCACTACTCTACTTTTATAAACTCATAAAACAATCCCTTTGACAGGATAATTTCAAGTCTTTAGGCCAAAACAGATAAATGCAATTATATTTTGGCGTAAAAACCATGGGAAAACATGTTGTATAGTATAAATGTACAATCTGCAGGGAATACAAAGTTAAATGTTTTGTTATTTTGGTGCCTCTGCCTGTCCACGGTGACGTTGTCGGTCGCGCAACCATTTTGGTATGTATTCCAATGAGCACGCCTTATTGACCAATGGCAGCGCGCCTCAGATAAGCCTCAGCCAATCAATAGGCGACGCTGTGACTCACCAAATAAGGAGAGACAAGACCAAATAAGGAAACATTGTATCTCTTTATAAGGAGGAAAGTAGTTCCCGGATTGTAATATTACTCCGCCGTCGTAAACGCTATTAAAAAAATACGCGTTTTTATGCGTCGCTGAACCACAAATAAATAGATATAGCGGTGTAGATGGTGTAAAGATAGGCATTTGAACGCATTCAGGCCGACACTAGCGCCATTTTTAGTTCACAGTGTGGACTACGTGACATGGCGGATCGACATCAATGGCGCACTTCGCGTTTTCCTTTTTGAGAAAGTGCTCGGAGTTTTGGAAATAGAGGAGGAGGGTGAACCAAACTGAGCCGGGGTTGAAGGGTCTTGGGGGCAGCATCACTTTTCAAAGTTTGTCTCGGTTATTTCCTGGAGTCTCCAAACCCACAAACTGGTGTGGTTTGTTTACATTTTGTGGCCCAGGCGTGCATGCGTTTTATCGGCCATTTACGAGACAACTAGCCCCAGCTCTGTTGGCTGGTGTTTTAGAGACTCGGTTCAGTGAATATAATGTTACCGAGCCGGGTTGGATCGGCACCATCTGGAAACGGCTCAGCTACTGGCAGGGGAAACACGGGACACGGTTCGGGGGTTGTCGGAAGCGGGATTCGTCCCGTTTTGGTTAGAGCAGGGCAAGCTTTAGCAGTGGTCGAGAGTATCGGGAGACAGGGGGAGAGAGACGCCGTCGGGATGCTAGGGGCTAATGGGCCAGGGGGTTCGAGAGGTGTGAGACCCGGGAACGGGACCGGGGTGACCACCCTGCAGCCAGCCGTGCAGGGCAACATGGTGGGGCTAAACCAGGGAGGTATGCCTCACGGAGCCAGGTTCGAGGAGAGAGATGTCGCTCCTCTGTGCAGCGGCTCGGATAATGACTCGGACTCCGGAGACGATGATGACCCAGTGGGTTCACTCGGGGACAGCAGGAGAGGGGTGAAGCGGGAGAGAGGAGAGATGGAGGCTGCAGTGTCGGGGCAGGACGTAGGCATGCCTCCCGGGGGTTACGGAATGGTGCCCGGCGGGGTCGCAGGGGCAAAGCCGGGGAAGAAAACACGTGGGCGAGTGAAGATAAAAATGGAATTTATTGACAACAAGTTAAGACGTTACACCACCTTCAGCAAGAGGAAGACCGGTATAATGAAAAAGGTGAGTCGGGTGGTTGCTTTGGGCTCTCATCCAACTACACAACATTTGATTAGAGTGACACTTGAGTGTTGTTTCACCTGGATACATCGCATTCGTGGAATCAGCTATAAGGGTGAGGTTACAGTTACACCTTATTATTAAAACATCCGTGGGACAGTAGGCCCTTTGCACCTGTCATGGGCCTACATTACATGTGCAGTAGTAAGCTAGATATTATACCAAGTTATGTATTCTAAAAAACAAAAGCAATTGTGAAACAAAGTGACTCACTGGATGTGAGTTAGTAGGAACATTCATGACAGCCTTTAAATAGACTTTGGTAAATGACAATTCTATTTATGCCATGGACACACACTCGCAAACACACACAGATTCCCAGATTAACTATCACTTGCACACACACACTCACAGGCCTATAGCTGTTGGAAGTGCTTCCCATCAGCAGCCTCAGTGCACACAGGCTGTTCCTCTGTCAGTGTGAAGCAGGGCTCTGCTTACAGGCTGCAGCCATGTGGTGGAGAACAGCAGCGGGCCTGTAGGTGCCAACAGCTGACTAAACCCCAGGGAAACAGGATCAGAGGACGGTGAAAGAGCACTGGGACAGACGAGAGGAGCCCGGGACTGTCTGTGCATGCATCATGGCCCTGTGCATTTTGACACAAGCATCATCCGGTGAAGACTTGTCTTGGTTTCAGTTTTGTTAGTTGTTTTTGCTCACAAGCTGTTGTCAGAACTCCATGTTAGTCATTATTGCTTCCAATACAGTCTACATGTACCAAAGCAAAATTGTATTAGAAATCCACTCCTCAGACACAAATGCTGCCATGATAAATATTGCAATGTGGCATCAGAGTAGATTATCTGGAGACGAGGTCAGCTGTTGACCTGGAGCACAGCAGTTGTTTGGCTGTACTAGCCACTTTTAATTATGATCTTAAACAAACACAATGCTCTCTGGTTAGTGCAAGACTGTTCATTTGTTACTTTGAGGCGCATGTAGTGTGCTGTATTCCTCGTCTTTTCTATGTTTCCCAGACTGTTGTCGTGGAAACTGAGGTGTCTTTATGTAGGCTCTTGGAAACATGAACACTATTTGACACGCTGTGTGGATAGAGATTTCTGGAAATGTTGCCCACACTGTGTCAACCATCACAGTCAAAATGAGAGGTGGGTGGAGTGGGAAGATTCATTCATTGTCAAACTGGTTTCTAGGATGAGCCTTGTTTCATTTTAAAGCATGGTGCGAGTGAATCCCTGTTTGTTCTCTTATGTATGCTTCAGATTGCATGTATGTAAATGTTGGCACAATACAAATTGTGTCAGTATTTGTGGTTGCTTTTCCAATATTGGTCCAGTAAAAGGCACATTTTCATGTTTGCTCTTTCTGTAACTATCCTCAATAGTCTGTTTTTTTTATTGCACACATTTTGTCTCGTCATAACCAGAGAAGCACTAGAGTAACTTAAGTTGTGATTTCATTCCAATTGGTTGCCTCCAGAACACAAAGCAAGGGAGCCAAAAATATTAAGGCCCTGAATTATGTTATTTGTCCAAGGTTCCAAATTCAATTAAAACATGAAGGCATCTAAAATCCAAAGTTATGTATCCAAAGCAATATGAAACTGAAACAAAGCTGGAACAAGTCAGGATTATTTTATGACAATCAGAAGATGATCTAAATGGTTGTTTGTTCATTTTCTGGCAACACACTAGTCACCTCATTGTTTAAGGTCAGCCCAGCGTTCCTGTCGGCTTCTTTGGAAAGCTACAACTTTTGACTTTGCATGGTTACATCAGCAGATGTTGTTGAGGGGGATTTAACTAGAATCAGTTCAGTCACTCTTTAGTCACAAGCCTATTTTTGAAATGCACAACTACACATACATATTTGCCTTTCTAAGTTCTTCATTTTATATATATATATATATATATATATATAGGCAGGGTGTGCGTCTAGGTTGGGAGACAGAGGTACCAATTACAGCCAGACTAATTGGAACTCCTGAATATTTATGAGAAAATCAGCAGAGCAAGGAAAGTTATTAAAGCATTTGTGTGGGTCTAGCTTTGTGCCGCCACCTCACACGGTGAAGGTGACAAATTAGCCCCTTCCTGCCCTGGAAGTTGGCCAAACACCAGGCTCTGTTGGAGAGAGACCCCCCCCCCCCCCTGTAGCTGCAGAGCTCACCAGGGACATGGAAGAGAGAAGGGTGACTACTAGAGGGAGCTATGTAGTTCATTACCTGCTCCTGTAGCTTGGCATTAACAGGCAGTGGGGCGGAAATTATTTGTAACGCTTTTCTCCAGTTCGTGCACATTTAAAACCCCTCCTTTAATACAGTTTTAAAATACTCAGTGGGAACAAGCTTTGAGCCACTATAGCAGTCATCATTAGCCTATCTGTGCTCTGTCATCATATTAAAACACACAGAAGACAATTGATCAACTTTATCGTGTCTACTAATTGGCCTGATTGGGCCCACAATGAACACAGTGTTTGAGTATGATGGAGTGAATGCATGGTATTATAACAGCCCAATAAAATGCGATTAATTTGAATGTGATGCGTCTCCTCCACCAATGGCACATCTATCAGCCAGGTGCGACTGTACAGCGCTCACCAAGGTGACGCTAATGGCACTGTGCCTTCTCAGCACCAGAGGCATCCTCCACATACCTTATTACTCATTTAGATAAAAAGGCTTTCTCATGAGTTCACTCCCAATGCTCGATGGGCCTTTCCTTTACGTGTGTGTGTGTGTGTGTGTGTGTGTGTGTGTGTGTGTGTGTGTGTGTGTGTGTGTGTGTGTGTGTGTGTGTGTGTGTGTGTGTGTGTGTGTGTGTTGCTTCACGTTTCACAGTCGGCTACCTCTGGGTGTTAAGAATGATTCCTTGAGTCCTCCTTCAAGAATGGCTTACTACAACCCCCCCGACCCTCTACAAGCCAATCCCCAGCTGCAATCAGTCTCTCAGCTACATCACACTCTCTATTCTGGGAGCCTTATCTCATGTTATTTTAGCTTCATTTGTGCTATACGTCAAAGTTCACTACAGCCGTATTTTTAGATTCTTGTGTTTTCTTGGCCAGGGTTTCTGTCTCCAGAGGTTCACCTTTTCAATCTCTTTTATTCCCTTTCCAGTAGGGATTACTGATGAAGGTAACCCATGCCCCAATTAAGTGAACCATATCTTTCTTTCTAGCTTGACATTTGGCCTTTGCTCTCTGCCACATACTTTAATCTTCTTCTTTCTCTTTCCCAGGCGTATGAACTCTCCACCTTGACGGGAACCCAGGTACTGCTGCTCGTGGCCAGTGAAACGGGTCATGTCTACACTTTTGCAACGCGCAAACTCCAACCCATGATCACGAGTGAAACGGGCAAAGCTCTGATCCAAACGTGCCTCAACTCACCGGACTCGCCGCCACGCTCCGACCCCTCCACGGACCAGCGCATGAGCGCGACGGGCTTCGAGGAGACGGATCTCACCTATCAGGTGTCTGAGTCGGAGAGCATGGGCGACACAAAGGTTAGAATCACAAGTGGGAAGGTCTGCCGTTATAGACCGATCCTCAAGTGGTCAGGACAAAAAAAATTAAGAACACATCTCTTTTAGTGAGGCTGCAGCTGTGAAATAGATAAATTCACTCATTTCTGTTCCTGTCCCCACAGAAATAGTACTCACGTTAAAGTGTCTGTGAATCACTGGCTGTTTTTAAATGGGGACGTGACAAAATAGATTATTTTTTAAAACGATAAACCACCCTAGAGAGTCCTTAATGGATATAGTGGGAAATCCCTCCAGAAAAGGCTAGACAAGCACACGAGGTGAGCAAATCAATCAAACCCAGCAATGGAAAATAATCTTTGTCCTATTGTAAACACACTTCTGAACTTTTGCCTGTTACGCCTCAGTGAGGCCTCTGTTTTGGGCTGGCTGTGTGGCTCTAGCACCGAGTCCTTTTTTAATTAAAGCAAAAAGTCTTGGTAGTCCTTCAAAGGGCCGTAAAGGGAAGGAGAGCCAGATGAGATGGAGAGTATTATCCAACTCACTACACGTTACCTTTGTGACCTCTCATCCAGGAAAGCCTCGTAAAACTGCCGAAGATAAATCACTGCAGGTCTGGGTTGTGTTAGGGTGATACACATGCAGCCTGCTATACAGACGACCGTAGGTGTTTATCTTAGGTTTTGGGATGGAGCTGTCTTGTGTTCATGGATGAAATGCTGGGATTGTAACTTGTTTTTGAAATCATTGGGAAATTACACTTTTTGTACAGTTTTCAAACTTAAAACTGAAAGGCACAAGATGAACTTCTACTCTGAAATCTTGTCCTCAGATATTCTGTGTGACCTCTCCCCATCCCTCGTGAAGAGCTGCAGGTCACGTCCCTGCGTCCCGCTGCATTACTGCAAGCGTTCTTAAACCTCTTTGAGTTTTTGAAGCCAAGCGATAAATCATCCTCGGACACACTTGACTGTCCACACACCTTTTGAGATTCCCTCCGCTGTTTACACGGCTTGAGTACGGCCCCTTTGAAGATACACGCGTCTCGGCCTGATTGCCTGCGTGGCGTTTTCACAAGGCGCTAACCAACGCGTACCATACACCGTCACAGATGGGAGGTCAACCGTTGCATGTTTGACCACTCTCATGCCCACTTTGCTCATTGATAACAATTAGTTTCTGCCTCTGTTGCCATATATGGTATGGTTTCCCTGCCTGCTCTCTTGGCTGAGGCCCCTCACATTCCTTATAAGCTGCAGCTGTCTTTGGAGTCCTGTAATTCCCCCCCCCCCCCCCCCCCCCCACTCACTCATTTAGTGATATGGAGGGGAGGTAAGGATGTAGATATGAGCGAGTGGAATGGAAACATTTGAGCGATATTTTATGTTCTGACCCCTGATGCAGTTATGAGTGTGTGTTTGATCGGCCCTGGGAAATCTGTTCACACTAGGACTCTCTAAGAAATGTTATCATTGCGATCCATGATGTCAGGATCAGCACCGCGATAAGGCAGCAGGTGGATAAGGAGGCCATGTTTTCTGTGCAGTCGGTCTGATTTGTGGTCGCTGCGTGCACCTCTGCAGCATCTGCACGCTATTTATCAAGGGAGCAGAATGTCATACATACAGACCACGCTAGTCTAAACAGAACAGAGTCTGCAATGGCTGGTTGGGGGGGGGAAAGAGACATTCTGGAGGAGCAAAAGAAAGAGGCTTAAAAGATAAGACATTTAGTGATGCAAGCAATGCTTGTAAAATCACCCCACACACACTTTTATATTACTCCTGCTAGATTAAAGGAAACATCCTGAGGTAAGACTTTAAAATACTAACAGCAATTGGTGTTGTAAAACTGTTGTGAATATTTTTTAAATGCTCATTTCTAATGGCCCAAACACTGGTATTGGAGTTAGATTTTTTTCCCCCCCAATAATTCTTACTGTGATACCTGACTGAAACACGGGGTATCTGCATTACAGTGGGACACTTGCAGCACATAGTGATCAATCATTTAATATTTTGTTAAAGTAATTGCTGTGACACTGAGTCATTAGCCAACAGTGACTGAATGGCTTTTAGTTTTGGTGATAGACAAACAAAATAGAAGCCCAACATGGCCATCCCCAATGTTCAAAATGTAACATAATGTATGGGTCACCTCAAGACAAAAGCAAGTGTATATAGCAGAGTTCAACGTGGGATCAATAGTTAATTTCTGAACTTCAGTGTGGGGCAAATGGTAGCTGCTTGGCAAATTCTATCAAATAAATCCTGTAATATTCACCAAAATGAGTTTTTAATACATTTGAGGGTGTGTAATGGGTCGTGCAGTTTGAGAATCATTCTTTGTATCACCCTAAAGCTGTTGTTCTCATAGTTTATAACTTTGTGTGATTGTCAAAGTTTCACATTATTATCATAACATCATCAGCAGATTGGTGTAATGCATATCTCGTCTGTGATTCTCTGAGTCATTGCACCAGAGTTTAGTAGTGAAAACTTGCAATATGACAGATGTCAGAATGAAGAGCCCGGCCTTCTTCCCTAGAAACCTCACTCAGCATGTATTGTGTATTTTATCATTGAAAGCCTCTTTGTCGACCTGACTGCAGTGTTAAGATAATAAAACATTACGTTTAGGGTGCGTGACTGAAAACACCCCGGCTTTTCTATTGCTATTGCTCTCACAGCTCGCATTAAGTACATACAACCAACAGCAGCTCAAGACTGATCTCTAAGGGCTGCATAATGCATTCTGGGAAATGTAAGGTCTGATTTAGAAGTTAATGAAAATAAGTGGTTACACCATAAACAATACAATGACCTAAAAGAAGAGTAGCATCCTCAAACCGATGCTGGGATTTGTATGGTTTCAGTGCCTGCCTCTTAATATAAGACGTGACTACAGATGTTTTATTGCTTTGGGGTTATTTTTGGAAGGGGATGGCAAATCCCACAACTCATGTTTGCTCAGAGGATCCAGCTTTGTATAGATTTCTCAGTATCAGTTTCCTCTGGTTTTCCCCTCCTCTTCCCTCCCTCTCATTCTCTCCATCCCTCTCTTCTCTTCTCTTCCCTGATCTGGCTGTCAGTGCTATTGCTGCTGCTGCTGTAATCCTGCTCTATTTCTTGCCCTGCTCATTAGCAAAGATCACATCGTCTTTGCGATGTTGCAAAGTGCCCCGTCCAACAGCTTTTCGGACATTCTTCGACACATCCCACAGCCTCTTAATTCAGCATACTGCACGCATCATTTGAATTGGTTCCCATGGAGAAATGAAGGGGATTCGATCATTAGTCCAGTGTTAAACTGCACTTGAACAGATAAAGTTCTTCTGTCCTCCTGCTGTTGTAAGGGCAGGGCTGGGGCTTGAAGTAGGTGACAGGAGAGAATCACCGAGATAAGGGAAAGCTAATTTCCTCAGATATGCGCTCTTATCACAAGCTGCTGCTAAACAGGCTGTGTGTAGAGAGGTGGTGTCGCTGAGGGAGCAGCGTGTGGAGCTGTGCTGGAGGGAAGGAAAGCAGCGTTATGTCACCCCTCCCCTCCTCCTCTTCCACCCCCTTATTTTACAGCAAGCAACTGGACAGGTCAGCCGCTATTGGCTGCACCTCCTCCACTTGGGCTGCCTTGCCTTTTTTAGCAGTCCCAAATGGAGCTGCAAATTCCATGTTGCTGGCAGGGTGACAGACTGGGAGATGGGAGCCAGCAAATGGGAGATTAGACCAGGGCCAGCCACCAGTAAAGTGCACAATGGGCTCTCTGGACGAGGCTGCCAGTTGTCACCTTCAATTTGGGAGGATTAATCCCTCGTGAATAGGGAATCATTTGTGTCCTGCTCTTTTTAATGACTCTCTCATTGCCTGATACTTTTAAACGGGGTCTTGCATACGAGGTCTGTGAATGTGAGGAGGGCAATGGAGGCGTTTCTTCTTTTACCATATATAGAACCATTACAAACGGACACAATTTGGAGACCAGCGTATTGAAAAACGTGTGCTCACGTGCCTCCAAACAGTGTAGCTATTTGACTTACTCAAAATGTATCTTGGGATTTAAGTTTAGTAAATGGTTTCCTCCTCCCTTTTTGTTGTTAGGATTTTTCGTATGTTCCGGAGGGAGGGCAATACTTGAGATCTTAACATCGCTGTGGAGTAGAATGATGTCTCTCTTTTGTATAAAGGATAGTCGTGGAGGTTCCTCTGTGGCAGTGCAATCCTCCTGAGGACTCATTACGTATTCCCCCAGACTCAGCCCTCCATTCACACCACTTTTAAATTGTGTCTTCATTTGTTGCGTTCTCGTATCTCATTATTATACAACGTAGCGTTTGTGCCCTGGTTGGATTTGGGATTTTCTCCAAAGCAGGGACAACAGTCTGAGGTTGATTTAAAGTTAAAGTAAACCTTCAAGACATTTAAACCAGCTTTGTTTTGAGAAATATCTCTTCAATATTTCATCCGGCTCAGTCAAAGCTTTAAGGTCATAGTTCAGAGTATCTTACTAGTAGAATGAATAATAAAGATATACATTACTACATATTGTAGGGCTGAAACCCACAATTATATTCTCTATGATTAATTTATCCTGAATTACCTTTTCAATGCATTGCTTAATCATCAGGCAAATTGTCCAAAAAAAGTTACAAATACCCATCGCAACTTCCCAGAAACCAGGGGGACATCTTCAGCATGCTAATGATTCCTAGTATCATTCATACAACATAAGACAAAGAAAAGCAGCATTCCTCACAATGACGAAGCTAGAACCAGTATGCTTTGGCACCTCTTTGTAATAAAATAGCATCAATGATCAAAATGATTGCAAATGAAGGATAATCAATAAATCAACAACATGTTTCTGCTCTAATCTATTGTACACACTTTTAAGACTTCTAGTATCATGTAACATTTCAGGAAAGTTGTTACGTTTCAGTGATTTACATACTCTGATGTATCAGTTTGAGGTTGAACTGAAGATGGTCGTGGGGAGGAAGTGACAGTGCTGAGACTTTGGCTGTATTTCTTCCCTGAAGGAATGCATGACACCACGTGGCCCGTTTACTATGCAGTGCCTCGACTGTGGACTAAAAGCCAGAGCTGTTTATAGACAGTCGATCAGGAGACATACGGAGGTGGTCAAACAAAACAGTAGGTCAGTGGAAGCCCGCTGTGTAGGTCACGGAGATAGGGGTAGTTCGACTAGACCTCTAGATTACCACGCGGGTTAAAACCTGGATGATCAGTTTACGCCTCCAAAATATTTCCTCGAAGCATGAGCAGACACGTGTGATACAAAAAGAGCTGGATCACAGTGACCTTTTCCTTTTTTAGTGAGTTGTTTCTTTTTCATGGTATTACAAAGTGAAGCATTGCAGTCGGCTACAGGAATTCAGTCAGTGATGGTGAGAGGAGCTCAGCGTCAGATGGCGGCTGTCTCTTCACGTGGCTCCCTGCTGCCTCTGCTGGCTCTGAACGGGTTAATTCCCCCTCAGAGGTGCTGGGTTTCCTGCCAGCTGTCTATACCCTCAGCTGTTCGTGCTCCCTACCCTGTCCCCTGTCCCCGAACCTCACACAGGTCTGCCTCTGCTTCGCCTGCCGCGCACAGACCAACAGTATACTACTGCTGCTAAAGCTAAGAAGGGCTACTTGCTAACACACTGCTGTTATGATGATCCAGGCAAAAGGCTTTGTCGTTGTACATTTCCAGTCACTGTTGGATCGATATGTGTGCTGCTTTCCGACTGCTATTGCTTTTTCTGTTGGCATCTTAAAAAAGCTGCTCAAAATATCTTTGTTAACCATCATTGCAATGTCATCTTAGCACATTGTCAAAGACTGATGAGGATTTTGTTTTAAAGATTTGATGAGTTTGTTTGTCAGTAACAAACGACATTTTAAAATGGTTGCTATCATTGTTTTTCACTGGTGCCTTTATCTGGAAGTTTAATAAAATAAAATAATGTTAACTCAAAAAGCAATTTATTTACTATAGCAGTCCGATGACATCAACAGAAAAGCCTATTGTTCAGCGTTAATCTTAAAGACTTCTTTTACCTCTGCCTTTACCATTGCGACATATTGAGTGACTTATTTGCCGTTGGCTTTACCATGTTGTTTTACGGTGTCCTGTGAGAATGGAGCCGTGGTGACAGCTGTGTCGCGCTCTGCCTGTCAGATATCACTCTGTGGTGGAGGACAGGTCTGATAGTTGTTTGATGAATGGACAACAGATTGTTGTTGGGTGATTTTTAAGTCAGTTTTTTTCTTCTTGGTTGAAAGGGCAGAACAACTGTGAGTCCTCTGTGCGGCCCTCCCCCTTTGACTTTCCAGCTGCTGTTTAACTAAAGAGCTAAAGGACCTTGGACTGTCAGAGCCCCTCAGCAGGGCCGGGGAGTGTGCCGCGGACCAAAGCACTCATTGCTCACACTGTGGTGGTGTTCATTCGCTGTAAAGGACAACACCTGCTCTGCCATGTGTACGTTTTGAGTGCCGGACAACTCTGAGTTAACCCTCTTGATCATGTGTTAACCCTATAGGTTTTTTACTGTGGCTGAACAGAGGGTGAATCCTTACATTTGACATGTTTGCAATGCATGGTAGCATGTGGCTTGTCTTATCAGTGGAGTCCATGCTGGATCATCCACCTCTCCCCCATGTAATCAGTCACGTATAAAAACCAATAGTTGCTGAGAGGTTTGCCTTGCCTGCTTCCACACTACCTCTCTGTTATGGAAAATGAATACGCCTTTAAATAAATACAAGCTTATATTGAGCACACCCCATTGCCTGCCTTTCTGTTGTGACACATGGCTGTGTTTCTATATAATAACCCTAGTTCACTCACCAGTGTTACACAGCGGCACTGTGTGGAGAGCTATGACACACTATCTTTGTCCCAGTTCTGAGGCTGGATCCTTCAAAGGATGAATAACCTTCAGAGGGTCTGAGGTCTAGGCAGAAAGAAGAAAATAAACGACGATATCTGATTGGTATCGGCAGATCCTCGATTCAGACATGAAAGAGTGCTATTGAACTGTTCCTAGACTATAGTGTTAGCTTTAACGTTTCACTTCCATACAGAAAGCTCAAAGATGGTACGCACTACGCAGCATAGAGGTGAGAAGAAGGTGACATGTAGTAAAGTCCTGACTGGGATTTAAGAGTTCAACAAGCATTATGGGATACTTGGGACTGGTTGTGTCGTTCAATTTCAGTCAGAAGTACTTTTAGCCAAACGTGGAGAAGCCTTTGAAAAGTATTGTATGTATCTGTGTTTGTACTTGTGATCATTCCACTTATCAACCAACAGGTAATATCCTCCATCGCTGTGTCTCACGATCTGTTGTTAATCACACCCTCTAAGAACGTTGAACACAGGCTCTTACATTTGTTCTAATGTGTCTGCTTTTACAGATCATTAGTATCAAGTGAGAAGCATTGAAGTGCGTAGAAACAGGCACGATGGGTTTATGTACTTTCTAGTCCCTGCCTTACGCCTACTCTGCTCTCTCATGCAGCCCACTCACTGCCTCACCCTACCCTGATGTATACGTTACTGTATTGTGCCATGCTGCAGCTCACCTCTATGGATCTTAGCAGTGTGAGCACATCTACCTGATATTTACACATTTTACTGAGATGTCATGTTACACGGTCCGTTAGTTGTCATAGTAACTCAGCAAGATGTGAGTACAGAAATGACATTGTTGTTAAAGGGGCCTTATTTAGCTTGTTTTGGTTTTCTCTTTCCTGTAGTGTGTCGTCTATGTTGTTGGGCTTATAAATGGTTTCACTCATGTTCACAGTAGAGAGGCACAAAATACAATTATGAAACCTGGAAATGAGCACAAGGGGACCCCTTTTATCTGGATTCGAGTTTGATTGGTGTATAGATGAGGAATGGGTGACTCTGTATGTGTACACAGTCATGTTCCCCATGTATCATTTTCTCTCTTAGGCGTGTTGTAAGGCAGAGTAGTATTTTTTTGATAGAAGTCCCATTACGATTGAGTCACCATCCTACACAGGAATTCCTACATTCAGGGAGAACAACAGACATGATTATTCTCCAACTTAAATGCAACTTTTTGCTCTTATTAAACCTAAAATGGAATTCCTCCCAGCTCTGCTCTGTATTTTCCACATGGATGCAATTACAGAGGTCCCAGCCTGTTTCCATACTCTACTGTCTTGTTTGTCATTTGCCCTCCGTCCATTCAAACTCTCTGGTTCCTGTCACACAGCCATTGATCCCTGAAACATAGCAATCATTAACCCCCACCCCCCTGCTTAAATAGGAAAAGCCTCATTAATGGTGTTGTGTTAGGTGTTCTCATGTGAGATGCTTCCCCATGACAAATGGGGTAGAGCAAGTACTAGAAGACCTTTCTTTCTACTTGTCCTTCATTCAGACTAATAAATACATTTAAACCTTGAAAGGCCATTACCGGCAAAAACCACTTCAAGAGACGGCGCTTGATTTTTCTTTCTAACGATATCTTTCAAGAACATCAAATAAAAGGAACGCATGATAAGGAAAAAGAATACAGAAATGTGGCGGGTTAAAAAATCGTTATATATTTACACTCTTTCCCTCTTACTTATACTGCTGCAAAATAATTTCTCTTGGGATTCATGTGCTTCTTATCTTGTTTTATGTTATTGAGATATGCTGGGATTAGCCAGTCAGGAAAGGCCTGACAAAAACACTGTAGAGATGAATTATGGGAATTGTAGGAACCAGTGTTTTTGGAGCCTGACCCATACTCATTTCCCATTTTCACCCTTTTTAAATCTGTCTCTCGCGAGTCCCTCAAGTTTATCGTAGAACACACTTCATTGCTAGCCTCTCATCTCACTCTTATTATTTCTTGATATAGCTAGTACTGATTGAAATTTCATCAAATTCTCTGCCCCCGTCCTCCTACTCACACTTCATGTCCTCTCTCCCCAGGACACACTGAAGCCCACGTTCACGGTGGCCAGCCTGCCGGGCAGCGCCCAGTGCACGGTACCCACCACCTCCACCACCATGCAGGTGAGCAGCGGGCCCTCGTTCCCCATCACCAACTACCTGGCGCCCGTCTCGGCCAGCAGCAACATCAGCGCCAACGGCACCGTCCTGAAGACCACCAGCTCGGGGGTCATGCAGCTGCCCAGCGGCTTCACCTTCATGCCCGGTATGTAGCATCTCAGCATTCAGACCTTTGTTACAATGTTACATTATTTTCTTTATTCATCCTAACCTCCACCTCTAGATGTGAGTCTTCCGCAAACCTTCATGTTTTGTTAATGTCCCTGCATTGTGTAGCTTATTAGCTGATTAGAATTTGAATGGCGCCGTGCCGTGACCTCGGCCTGTCGCTCCTCTCTCGGAGCGGTTTGCATCACACAGCCCTTCATAGCCTTCATCAGCACTCAGCGGCCTCAGGTTCTACAAAGCCTTCAGTAACCAGGAAAAGCCCCTTCTGCTGGCGAGCCGCCTGCCTTTGATTGTCACTCGTGGACAGGAATAATTAGGTGAGAGGGACACAACAGACCTCAGAACTGAGGGATGACGACCGCGGCCAATAATTAGTCATGAATATTCAATGGAGGATCGGTGGCTCGCGTTGAAATTATAATTGAGGCGTACTTCGTGACGGAGCAGTCCTGAACTAGACATGACCCTTCATTAAAGAGCACTTACAGAGGCACCCTGAAACAAAAGGGATTTTTACCGACGAAATGAGGACTTTAAGGGGGCAGCGTCTCATTTGGGATCCCTAAAGGGTCTTTACCCCCACATTATTCATTACACCTCCTTTTCATGGGGGGTGTGCCAGGGAAGTAATGGGGCGCCACATTGACGATTCAGATTGCTGACAATTCCCCGTGAAGACAAGAAATGTTTTAGATTTCACCATCATTTCATAAGATATGATCTCCTCTTTATAGGGAACTGAGCACCTTCTTGGACTGTCCATGACATGAGCAATTTAAAAACACTAGTTGACACTTAAATGCTGACTGGTGCAATTTCTCTACCCTGTGTGTTATCATGGAGAAAAGAGTGTGTAATGCATTGTGAAGGCAGTGCTGAAGTGCAGTAATGTCACTGACTAGTTGCTGCAGTGTGACAGCTGACAGCTGACACACATGATGCTCACTAATGACTGACAGCTGAAGGACAGCCACACACCGGCTTTGTCCCTTTTCTCCTGCTTTTTCTCTCTCCATCCTACAACCTTCTATCCCACCCTCACACTTTTTCCGCCCTATCCCTCCTTCGCTCTCCCGTTCTCCTTCTCTCCTCTTCACCACCTGTCTGGCACATAGCAGCAGTGCCAGGTGGAGCAACACCCCCTCCCACTCTGAACCTCCTCTGCTGACATCTTGAAAGGGCCGGCCCGCCCGACTGCAGCAACTGTTGATGGAGCATGTGACCAAATGTGAGGGTGTAACTGTGGGGGAATATCTGCCATTTGTTCAGGAAAACACTTTGAAACAAGAGAATTGAAACAAATGATAAGCATGAATTGTCAGCCCAAAATCACCACTGAATACAGTCATATAGTTTGTGTCACTTATCAGCCATGTGTGTATTATTGAAGATGTACTGTTTTTAAATGTACCCTGCCTTATTTTTGTCCCTGTTTAACCTGAACAGTGCTGCTTGAAAATACAAATGTTGTCATGTCTTCTCCCCCATGATCTGCAACTTTTAAGATGGATAAATAATAGGGCTGAAATAGAAGGAAAAAATCTCATTAGCGATTAATCTGTAGATATTTCTAGATGTAATTAAAAATAGTTTGGTCCACAGAATGTCCGAACATGGTGAATAATGCCCATCGTAGTTGGTCAAATACCAAGGAGATGTCTTGTTTTGTTAGTCTAAACTCCGATGATATTCAGTGGAATACGATATTTAACAGAAAATTGTAAGAAATCTCCACATTCGAGAGTCTGAAAACAGCATTTTCTGCCATTTTAGCATAAATTGTTACTCTAATAACAATATTTTCAATATTTTGCATCAATCCACTAATCAATGCAGCTGTAAATATAATATTAAACACCTGATTAGAGCATATATAAATGTACTATATATATGTGTGACATAGCATCCCTAGCTAGACTTCGCTACAGCTCTATCAAGCACTTTCTTTTTTAAACCACACCATTATTTTGTAATCAAAGTCTCATCCCCCACTGTGTGTGCCCCCCTACAGCAGGCACTCCTCTCCCCCCCGGCACCCCCACCATTCCTCTGAGCCAGCTGCAGCAGCACTCCCTGGCCCTGCAGGGGCAGCATGGGCAGGCCTCCCAGCACCAGCAGGGACAGCAGGCTGTCTTCCGCTTCCCTGCTGCTGTCTCCCTCTCAGGTGACCCTCTCTGCACACTGCTGACCACACAGTCACTGTCAAAGCATCGCTAAGGGATGCTAGAGCTGCTAATGCTAGCGCCTTCTGCTATGGCTAATGCATCTAATGATAGGAGTGCTAATGCTACTCGCACGTCTACTTCTCCAGATAATAGTACTGCACAATGCTTTCACTGCCATATGCCACCCCCCCTGCAACTACTGCTATTATTCCCTGTGTGGGATGTCGATGACTTACTGTAGAGGCTGTGTGTTCTGTGTGTGTGTGTGTTTGATCAGGAGCAGGCCTCCCCCAGCAGCTCCAGGCCATCCAGGTACACCACAACACCACCTCCAACAGCGACGGCAGCCTCGACATCTCCCACACCTCCTCAAACTCCACCGGTAGGTCCAAAGCCCCCCCCCCCCACCCACCCCCCACCCTCTGAAAAAATAAGTTGGAGCTTTTCTTAGAGAAGCAGCTCCATCTAAAAAGACGAACATTGGTGCTCCACGTAATGTAAAGAGCCTACAAGAAAATGTTGTATCCAAAAAACTTTTCTAAACTTAATTAGCATTTACAGTTGCACTTATAAAATATTGAGTGTCAAATTCAATCTATAGAAGACATACTGTATCATTTTACTGTATAACTTGGGAACACACGCTCCATCTGAATTTTAGTTTGGCCTAAATAATATATCTGTTTCTTCTAGTCAAACATTGTCCGCCTTTGTGTTGCTATCCCAACTTATGCCTGACAACATTAGTGGAAAACCTTTCCCAAAATAGTTTTCTTTCTTCTACCAATTTGTTTTTACTCAATCTGCTCCTGTTGTGTTATTGTGCCTGTACACACTGCATACAGGAGGCATCAGTTGAGTTTAGTGGCTATAAAGCGCCATCTGCTGGCCAACATGTGAACACACACCTGCTGCCCTCAGTGTGACATTTCCTCCCTTCCCCCTCCCTCACCTTCTCTCCTTCCAGCGACGGTTAGTCTCCCAGCAACCATCGTCACCTCGTCTATGCCAACATCTGTTGCGGGTCACATGATGTACCCCAGCCCGCACACAGTGATGTACGCCTCGGCGCCCACGCTGTCCGACGGGAGTCTCGCTGTGCTCAACGCCTTCTCGCACGGCACCTCGGCCATGCAGGTCCACGGACAGGGCCAGGACTCAGGTGAGACTCCAATAATAACAGCTGTCATTATTTAAATGAAACATGCTGTGTTTACTGACGGACGTGTGTGTGTGTGTGTGTGTGTGTGTGTCCCCAGGTGTCCCGCAGGTGTTCCTCACAGCACCCCAAGGCACGGTGCAGATCCCTGTCTCAGCGGTGCAGCTACACCCAGTACGGCAAGATCTGCATTTTACAAGTGAAACTCTCATATTCCCTCTGCAACCAGCATGCCACGTGTCGCACTAATGCACCCTAACAGAGCACTGGCACCCAGAGGGGGTCCTCACCTGCCGCCTGGTTGGAAGAATGTGAATTATCAGCTGGCAGATAGTTTTACCTTTTGGGTTTCAACAACATACACGTGCAATAAACTTAACCAAACACCACCGTAGCCGTGCATGGATTTTAATGTAGATTCCTTCTGTAAATTGTTATGAAATATATAGGTATTTGGATTTTATGCTAAGACTTTTTTCAAATGTATAAAATGTATTTTAAAAAAGTACAGTTATCATAATATTCCAAATTTACAATATTTAGTAAAACATTCAAATATTTTCGCCCAATGGTTCATAAAAGCTTTTCCTTCTAGTAAAAAAGAACACAAATAAAAGAATTTCCTCTCTTTAGAGTATATATTTTTTGGCAAGTTAGGCCTTACCAACATTTGTTAGAAAATAAAGAGCCTATATAAGAAATGCAACACATGGCAGCAACGTCAGTGTCTGGTTGGCTTTCTTCTCCCCCCCCCCCNTTCTCCACATATGTTATCTCTTTATTTGTCTGTATATTCATATTGAAGCTGGATTCCAGTTTACACTGTAAGGAAAGTCTAAATGTGATTTGTGTCAGATTTCAGCAGTTAACGACAATGGGCCACAATAGTATTTGTATTAAACGTTTAATATTATAATTATTTCTGAACTAATGCATGACTCATATTTTTTTTTAAATCTATTTAAATTAAAAGATCCAGTCCTTAAAGTACCACTAAAAACGATTAAAGAATTCCACCACGCAGCATGTAGTGTCAGGAGATCTTTTTGCGGTTGGCATTGTGTGATGACACGTGATTGGCCCGTGTGATACCGCCTCTGACTGGCTGTGTTGTATTCCAGATGGTGATTGGTCAACAGTCGAGCGGCAGCAGCAGTAACCTGACTGAGCTCCAGCTGGTCAACTTGGACGCAGTACAGAACTCAAAGGACTGACAGACGGGTGGAGCTGTGTAACATGCTCCCCCCCCCCCCCCCCTCGCCTCCAGGGGACACACAGACTTACGTCAACTCTATTTATTGATGCCTTCCTACAGAGCTTCACATTACACTTCTGAATGTGACTTTACATCTATACACACAATCAAGGGCAAATGTGTGGCTGACCCTGACACAGTATACAGTATGTTTTGGTATATAAATATATATATATTCGCAAATGCATAGGAACTATATCACGTCATCCATCATCGGAAAACTATTTTCTATGCCGTTAGATGGTGTTATTTTTTTTTGTGTGCGTGTTTTTTTGAAAAAGTGTAATGACCTGTACACACACACTGCGAGGTGCCACAGCTTCACACCAGCCAAAGAGACATTTGTTTGTCTGAATGTTCCAGTGTGAGCAACTTGTGCACAAGCGTGTGTGTGTTTGTGTGTGTGTGCGCATATCTGGGGTTTGTAAATGGGCAGGGAGACGCTTATTGACGTAAAAAAAGAGACGTTTAGAAATGTACATAGTTTTCTTTTTTTTTGATAACTTGTATTTTTAGCCTGGTTTAGTTTGTGCAACGGCATGTAGTTGTTTTTTTACGCAGTGGTTTTGTGTACATGAAAATGATTTGCAAAAAGATAAATTATTTACATGAATATGTCAAATAATTTAATATACCATCATATTTTGGCCGTTTTCAATACAAGATGGAGAGGGAACGCTGGGTGTTTTTCTACATGATTTGATGTGACATTGATTGGATCAGGTAGCTGGGTCGCAACATGTAAACAAGATGTTTATGATTTACTGTAAACAAGCTCTGATTTCACTGCTGATGGCAGGGTCATTGAAGACGTTGCATGAGGTTTTGTAAAAAGCTCTGATCTGGCACTAGTGTGGAAACTGTTAACGACAATCGGATGGACATTTCATTTATCTCACTTTTTTTACATAAGACCATCTTTATTGTCATCACACAGAAGTATGAATACATTTGTTTCACTTATTTTGATCCTTTTATGAGCAACAAACCTGAGTGCCAACAGGTTTTCACCACATTAATGTTATTTTAAAAGCGATCCATTGTACACCTGTCGCCCTGATTCGCCTCCATTGACTGCAGAACTTTAATTATGGGATGGCATTACTGACTCGAGTCAGGGCATTAGACGCAAATCTCTTGTTTAACAAGACACTGTATACACTTGGAAATTCCACTTTATCAACGCGTTATAATTTCCTCGGATGGAATCACTCAATGTTGTTATCACAACAGTATGAATATTTTTGTACGAAAAGGATCTCTTGTTTAGAAAAACTTCAGGTGCTTTGAAATGTTAATATAGTACTTTACCTAGAACTGTAAGACCCTCGCTGACTGCAATCTCAGTGTGTACCTCAGCAATCATTACGGATGAGTTATCAGACTGAGAGCCTTCTTTCTGCACCATAGTGCCTCTTTTCCATGGCTCACTTTCAAATCACTGCTAGGCAAGGGAAAGTAGGACTGACTTATTTCCAGACCACCTCCATGACTTTTCATGAATCCTCTGCTGTGTCCGGAGATTGCTGACTCCTTTCTACAGAATGCGCTGGATGACAGAGCTGGCTTGAAGCCAAAGGGAATCTGACGGAGGATTACACCCCCCCCACCCTGACTGCTGTTCAGTTATCCCCGTTCATTTTCACGCTCCATGTTCTCTGGTGTGTTCCTGTATCTGACGTCATCCTGCAGGGGGTGCTTGCAAATGAAATTGACAATTTAAAAAGACATTTAATTCCCCCATATTATTATCTAACGTTTTTTAAGTTGTTTTAAAAAGGGGATTAGTGAACAGATTTTTGGATTTCACTTTGTCATTGAGAGAAATGGTTATTTTGTGTATTTTTGTTTTGTTGTACAGACATTTTGTAATAAAAAAACAACATGATGAAACACACGAACCGCTTAAATAATGACCACACCCACACCACAGCATGTTTTCCTTCTTTAATTGGGACGGAGAAATGTCAAAGAAACCATATTGTTCAGTATGAAACCTAACATTTTGTATAACAGCAGTGTTGAAATGAAGATGGATGATTAAATCTACAAAGCATTAGGAGGCAGGAGGAGTGAGCATGCACCTTAATGTTTTAATAATGCATTGCACCGTCACAAAAATCTAACTGGCCGTGAGTAAGAAGAATCATCCCATTTAAACACCAGAAGAGAAGCAGCGATTAACGTAAAGAAACGCAACATGATACAGTGATTGGTCGAAGCCATCGAGGGTATAGATCAGTTGGCTGCAGAGTCCTGTACATCTTCCAAACCAAGCCGATGTAAGACAAAATAGTAAAACACAACAAAATGGTAGTGAAAGTAAGCCAACCTATCTCCAGCTAAGAAATCCTCAGGTGGCCGGACTGCCTTTCTTTCTCTCCTTTCTTTCAACAATGAAAAATAATGTTTAAGCATGCACTTACACCAGGTAGTATATCTATATTGCTATTGTCCACATACAATATACAAATGTACAGTTGGAAAGATAGTTGATTAAAAAAATGTGCATGATTCGACAATTTAAAAAAAGGTTTCCCGTTAAAATAGAAATGTTACATCCTAGGTTTCTTCTTTTTTTTGGTTTATGAAAACATTGAGAGAAAAAAAAGAAGCTTTTTGTCGTGTATATTTACATTATAAACGAGCAAAGATGAGGAAATGTGCAAAATGTGATTCCATGCAAGCTGTTGCATAATGTAGAGGAGGTGCTTGAGTGATGGGATTAAGGTGGTACCGAAATAAGAAGGGGGGGGGACTAATAAGATTAGCGACACATGGCTCCAATGAATGACTCTCTCCACCGCAATGATAAATCAGAACACTCACACGTAAACAAACTCAACACGCTTAGCAACCAAGGACACATTCACACTGGTAACACAACAAGCAGCCATTAAGAAGCATCTTGATGTAGATGAATTCAACCTTATGTAATTAATTACAGATACATGAGGTGATTTTTAGTTCCCGACCCCTTCCCGAAGTATCCAGGCAATTGTTTACCAATCAACCGGTTCCAACAACACAGCACATCGTCATTTAAAATGAAGGACAAAATGGTAATACTGCAAGTAAACGCAACACCAAACAGGAAGTCATGATTAGAGGGAGGTCTGGAACCCGACAAAAGGGTGTCAAGATAAATGTGATGCGATGATAAACTACGGCAGAGGATTAGGGCCACGTGTGAATTTGTTCGGCATTCTACTTTCTCAGAATTCCAGATTCAAGTCAGAACAAAAAAAAGTAAATTAACTAAATAACTTTTGGTAGAATGTCAAAATAATGATTCACGTCTTTCCTTTATCCTCTTCCGTACTCAACAGTGTTGCTGGATAATGAACCGTTGCTACACACATTTTCTTTTTTCAAATGTTCTTGTTTTCTTGTAAATGACTCGACAAACTTTAAATAAATTGCAACTAGCCCCATTCTCTGCAGTGTAGCCACTGCTGTATGTTTTAAGATAATAATGCATTTAAGATACTGGTAAATCAAATCAAGCGGTTTGCAGCTCTGCATTCCATCGATACAATGAAGTCATTATTGAGAATTAACAATGGTTTTAAAAAACACGATAACAATCCCTTGGATGATTTAAACACTGGTGTGTGGGATTTGAACACTGGGTCTGGAGAACAAAAACTAACGTGGAATCAAAACAAAACGTCTCTTCCACAAATGCCAACTCCCTAAAAAGCATGAATAATGTAACGAGTGCAAAGAGGTCCGTGTGCAAATTCACACAATTTGCCAAATTCGATTTTTTCTTTGGGTGATTATTACAGACGAGCTTTGAGAGCAAATGCATTTAAAGACACACTTAAGAAAGAAAACAAATTAAGTCAGTCCTTAGTTTGACTGTTTGAAATTCATATTAATATGACATTAGTTAAAAAGGCAACATGAAAGCAAACAATAAATAAGACTTGGCATTTAAAATATGAGTGCAGTATCTTAAATACTACAGTTCATCATGTATGTAACTACAGGTACATATCGTGGGGGGGGGGCTTCTTGTCTTCAAACAGACAACACATGAGGATTCAAGATGAAATTGTTCCAAAGGAAACCATCTGTAACTGAAAGGTGCGAAACCACACTAAGGCAAAGACGTTTACAGATGTGTGATTATGGGACAGACAATAAATACACAAACAGTTTTTCTCCAAGGTAGAATAACTACAGGGCGGTCCTC